GAGGCTTTCTACTCCCGTAAAGATTTACACCCTCGGAAACCCTGTACAGGGTCGCTATGGGTCGGAACCGACTCGACGGCACTTAACAACAAATTTGTATTATAAGATCTCTTCATAGATAACTTCCTATAACAAATACTAATTATGATAGGATCTTGCTGTTGTTGTTGTTAGGTGCCATCGAGTCGGTACTGACCCATAGTGACCTTATGCACAGCAGAATGAAACACTGCCTGATCCTGGGCCAACCTCACTTCTGTTGTCATGCTTGAGTCCGTCGATGCTAACACTTGGCCAATCCATCTAATTGGGGGGGTGTCTTCCTCTTTTTCTCTGACCCTCTACCTTCTTAGGAGCCAGTTAAAGATAAGAATAATATATTCCTTCCCTCACAATGTTTACAAGTTCATAGAGGTAACCATAATTAAATAATTCATTCATACTGCCACTTAATTGTTACCACCTCATCGTAACCTATGTAGGGTTTCTGATGTTGTAAATCTTTACAGGAGCAGAAAGCCTCATCTTTCTTCCTTGAAATGGCTGGTGGGTTTGAATTGCTGATGTTGTGGTTAGTAGTCCAGTGTTTTCCTACATTGCCAACAGGGCTTCTTCATTTAAACAATAGGAACATACAATAGCCTAGAGAGTGCTTCCTGGAAGAACTAATATTTCAACTAAAACCTGAAGGGTTTATAGAAATTCATCAAATCAACTTGTTTGGGGAGGGAAGTACAAGAGAGGACTTTGCAGAAGAAGAATGAAATGAAAAGAGTAGGTTTTTATGGGAGGAGAGGCTGAATTAGAAAACTAAGAGTGTTCCTTCTGGCCAGAATATCTTTCAGTGGCAAGAAGGAGATAAGAATGGAAGAGTGGACAGTTTCAAGCATCAAGAGTGTTCCAAAGTGTGAAAGATATACTTGTATCTTTGAAGGTTCTGAAAGGATTTTAAGCTGTCCTTTTGGAAGGATCATTCTAAATTCATGTGTAAAGTGGACGGGAGACATTGGTGACAGGAAGATAGTTGTGAGTAGGTTATCATAAGCAGCTCAGTCTGGAACTGGAATAACTGGCATTACCTCAAGTTGCCAAGGTAGTAATTTCTGTCTCTGCCTCTTTTCAGGGCTTCCAAGGCAGCGGTTGAAGAGACCTTACCAAGGAGCACTACGCAATAGATGCTGACACAACACACTCCAGGATAAGAAACAGTAACATGGCAGCACCTGTTTGAAAGGAATTACAAACCAACAGACTCCATTTAGAAAGGAACAATGTCCAAGAAAGGGCGAAACAAGGGCGAGAAGCCCGAGGCGCTCATCGTCGCCCTTCAAGCTGCCAACGAAGACCTCAGGACCAAGCTCACCGACATTCAGATTGAGCTACATCAAGAGAAGTCCAAGGTGAGTGTGGGCTACCTGAAGCTGTGCCCTCGAGAGTGATGCTGCCCATGGTCATATGCAGCATGCCAGCTCTGTCTGTGAGCATGTCCTGGTGAACTCTTACCAGTTGCCACAGAGAGAGAGAAGTCAATAATCATGTTACATGGAGGGAACTGAACACAGGATAAACAGATCACCAGACTGATCTGTCTCCCCAGGAAACCTGGTTCAGGAAGCCAGATTGCGTACAAATTGAGACAGTGACCCGCCTCCATACCAACTCCACCGTCATTACACCTACTGACACTTTATTATTGTATACTAAGACCTTGACCAACAAGCTAGAGGTCACAGACCAACAAATCTCCTTGTTCTATTTTATCTACCTCTTATTCCTTGACATCATATTCAATTTTAATTGTTATAGCCTCCAAAATGGATTCATCTTGAAAACTTAATAAAAAGCTGAATCTGCCAAACTCCTCTGCCTCCATCTCAGCTAAACCTTGCCCCTGGAGATATAGACCACAATATATAGATTATAAAGAAATTTTTTTTCATGATGCAAAATTTCATAAGGTAGTTTTTGTTTGTTTGATTTTTTAAAGAAGCACTTGTTTGAGAGTGAGAAGTATTCATCTGTATCTCTCCTCAGGGGGGAAATTTAAGGGTTTCTATCTCTAACTCCATTGGAGAAGGATGTCATGCTGGGTAAGGTGGAGGGTCAGAGAAAAATAGGAAGACCTATAACGAGATGGATTGGCCAGGTGGCATCATTGATGGACTCAAGTGTGGCAGCGGTAGTGAGGTTGGCCCAGGATTGGACATTGTTTCGTTCTGCTGTGCATGGGGTCGCTATGAGTCAGTTCCGACTCAATGGCACCTGACAACAACAACAACATTTCTAACTTCAAGGAGCTCTGGTAGCATAGTGGTTAAGAAACGGGCTGTGAATCTCAAGGTCAGCAGTTCAAAACTACCAGCTGTTCCGTGGGAGAAAGATGAGGCTTTCTGCTCCTGTAAAGATTTACAGCTTCGGAAACCCTGTACATGGTCACTATGAGTCGGAACCGACTCCATGGCACATGACAACAACAACAACATCTCTAACTCCAATGAGTTTCTCTATATCTGTGCTTCTCAAGAAGCATTGTGCATGAACTTGGGGAAATTTATTAAAGGTGGAGATTCCTGAGTTTACAGCCCAAGGATTCTGATGCATAGTGTGAGCCATGGGGGAGGCAAGCAGTCCAGGGGATCCTGGTCCAGGATGGTTTTCATGCTTCCTATCAACAAACACTGCACTCTTAAATTTCCTTCCAGGTCTGAGAGCCTACCAACATTTGCTTGGTATTAACTTTTCCCTGGATCAGTGGAGCACATCAAGGGACGCAGACTCCTCTCATTGTAGTAATGGCAGGATGACAAACCACATTCATGGAAAGAAGTGTTTCTGTCTGGAGACTGGAACCATAAATGATTGCCAATTTAGAGCACGTGAACCTGTGAGACTTCAAAGAAGCAGTGGTTTTGAGCACTCCACCACTGCCAATTGTCTACACATTCAGCCTTTAAAATGGGCAACTCTTCAGTTTACAAACCGCCAGCTGGTTATCCAGTGCTTGGCACGGGTGTCTAACCGCCCAGCCAAGCATAACTTCCCTTCCTCTGACAGGAGACCAGCCCCCATGTCTTCAATAAGAATCTTGCCCCTTTCCTCTCCTCTGAGGGTGCTCTGCCCTTCTCCCTCTCTGTTGCAGTTAATTACCATCCCAACTCAGTAGCTAAAGTGAGCCCTCCTTGCCTGTCAGCAGCAGCCCCTGAAGAGCACAGGGAATTTAGAGGGCAAACAAATTATAAAGCAGGTTTATTATAAATAACTGTGATGGTGTTTTCAAAGGACCAGGCTCTAGGAGAGAGAATAGGAACAATGTCAAGATGTATATTCACATTCCCTTTTTTGCTCAGGGGCTACGATGATAAAATGACAATTCAGTTACTGGAGAAGGGATTAGCTAAAGAATGGAAACCTTTGGGCCTTTGGGGCATTTCTCATTTTTTCCAGCAAGACAACTAATGCAGTTGACATTTACAGAATACCTGTTGTAAATAGAGCAGAGTCATCAGTGTTTTGGGCTGATAATATAAATAACTACAATTTATTGAAGATTTACTATCTGCTACCCACTCTAATAAGTGCATTTTATACTGACATAATCTCAGTTCTTTCACTAAGCACCTGAGTGGCACTGAACAGGATATGAGACCCATCTTTGATTTCCTTTTCTAGTATGTTACATAGGATAATCTTGTTGTTAGGTGCCATTGAGTCAGTATCAACTCATAGCGACCCTATGCACAGCAGAACGAAACACTGCCCGAACCTGAGCCAACTTCACAATTGTTGCCATGCTTGAGTCCATTGATACTGCCACTTTGCCAGTCCATCTCGCTGTGGGTCTTCCTCTTTTTCTCTGACCCTCCACCTTACCAAACATGATATCCTTCTCCGGTGACTGGTCTCTCCTGACAGTATGTCTGAAGTACGAGAGACGAAGTTTGGCAATTGTGGCCTCCAAGGAGCACTCTGGCTGCACTTCTTCAACACAGATCTGTTTGTTCTGTGGGCAGCCCATGGCACTTTCGATATTCTCCTCCAACACCATAACTCAAAACCATCAATTCTTCTACGGTCTTCCTTATTCACTATAAATAATGTTGTTGTTGTTATGTGCCGTTGAGTCAATTCCGACCCATAGCGACCCTGTATAGGGTTTCAAAGGAGCAACTAGTGAGCTTGAACTTTCTACCTTGCAATTCAAATGACTTTGCAGTCTGGTGCATTAACCCACAGTGCCACACCAGGACTCCATATAATAATAGTTGTTGTTGTTGTTGTTAAGTGCCATCGAGTCGGTTCCGACCCATAGCGACCCTGTACAGGGTTTCCGAGGCTGTAAATCTTTATAGGAGCAGAAAGCCTCGTCTTTCTCCCACGGAGCAGCTGGTAGTTTCAAACTGCTGACCTTGTGGCTCACAGCCCGATTCGTAACCACTACGCTACCAGAGCTCCTTATAGTAATAGTTTGTTGTTGTTAAGTGCCTTAAAGTAATAGTAGTAGTATTTATTTCCTAAAAATATGTGTGTTTTAGTTTGAGCAATTTGTTTATGTCAACCATGTTAATTGCTTATCTCAGGTCATCCTCATCATTACCCTCTGAGATACCCATTTTACAGAAGAGGAAACTGAGACTCAGTGAGGGTCACATGTCAGTGGAATGAGTTGACCCTTCAATGCCTCTTCCCTCTCTTAGAAAATCTGTGGTCTTGAAAAATATGAAAAAAGCAATTGCCATAAAGTCATTCTGACTCCTGGCAACACTCTGAGTGTCCGAGCAGAACTGTGTTCCACAGGGTTTTCAAGGATTGATTTTTCTGAAGCATATTGTCAGCTCTTTTCTCCAAGGCAACTCTGGGTGGTCTGTCTTAAGGTGCCATCCTTCCAGTTAGCAGTGTAGTTGTTAACCATTTACTCCATCTGTTGTTATTAGATGCCATCACATAGTGACCCTATGTACAACAGAATGAAACACATGCCTAGCTGTGCCATCCTTATAATTATTGGAATGCTTGAGCGCATTATTGCAGCTAGTGTGTCAATCTATCTCAGTGGGGGTATGCCTCTTTTTCACTGGCCCTCCACTTTACCAATCATAATATCCTTTTCCAGTTACTGATCCCTCCTGATAACATGTCCAAAATATGTGAGACAAAGTCTTACCATTCTCACTTCCAAGGCGCATTCTGGCTGCACTTCCAAGAAAGATTACTTTGCTCTTTGGCAGTCCATAGTACTTTCAATATTCTTCCCCAACACCATAATTCAAATGAATCAGTTCTTCTACACTCTTTCTTATTCATTGTACAGCTTTCATATGCATACAAGATAATTCAGAATCACATGGCTTGGGTCAGGTGTACCTTAGTTCTCAAAGTGACATCTTTCTCTTTAATGCTTTACACCAGAGGTCCTTTGCAACAGATTTGCCTAATACAATATACTATTTGCTCTCTTGACTGCTGCTTCCATAAGTGTTGATTGTGAATCCCAATAAAAGGAAATCTTTAATAACTTCAAACTTTTATCCATTTATCATAATATTATTTATTGTTCCAGTTGTAAGGATTTTGTTTTCTTTACATTGAGATGCAATCCATACCAAAGACTAGTTTTTTATCTTAATGAGTAAATACTTTTAAGTCCTCCAGCAAACAAGATTGTATCATCTGCATATCCTAGGTTGTTGATGAGTCTTCTTCCAATCTTGATGCCACAGTCTTTTTCATACAATCTGGCTTCTTATATTATTTGCTCATCATACAAATAGACATCATACAAAAAAGTATGGTGAAAGGATACAACCCGGCCACACATGTTTCCTGATTCTAAACCATTCCATATACCCTATTTCTGTTTAAGGGAATATCTCTTGGTCTATGTACAAGCTCCACTTGAACACAATTAAATGTCCTGAAATTACCATTCTTCTCAATATTCTTCATATTTTTTTTAGGATCCGTACAAATGCCTTTGCACATTCAGTAAACATATTTCTGTTATTCTCTGCTTTTAGCCAAAATCTGTCTGAAGCTAGCAATGATATCCCACATTCCAGGTTCTCTTCTGAATCCAGCTTGAATTTCTGGCAACTAGCTATAAATGTGCTGCTATAGCTGTTTTTAATTATCTTCAGCAAAATTTTACTTGCATGTCATATTAATGATACGGTTCGATGATATTTGCATCCACTGGGTCAGCTTTCTTTGGAATGGGCACAGATATTGATCTCTTTAATCAGTTAGTCAGGTAGCTAACTCCAAAATTTCTTAACGTAGAAGAGTGAGCACCTCCAGCACTACATCAATTTGCTGAAATATTTCAATTCCTGGAGGCTTGGTTTTCACCAGTGCTGTCAGTGCAGCTTCAACTTTTATTTCAACACCATCAGTTCTTAACACC